CAGCATGCGAGGTTGTTAGAAATAGGCACGACAAGGTATCAGTAATCGTCGACATATGCCAAGTTCATTGAGTTTAAATTGTAGATTTATTCAGAGCTCGACTGCTTGCGAGATACGCGCGTGACTTAGCATATGAAAACGTTAGCCTGCATCAACCATATTGAACGCCAGTTTAGGTAGGTCATTTTGTAGAATTTTGTGATCATCAGGGGTGGTTGATTTGGCTATAAAAGATGCGTCGGCAAATACTCGATTGGACGATGAATTTCCTGATTGTAGATCGTTCACATATATAAAAAAGAGTATTGGGCTGAGCACTGACCACGGAGGGGCACGGTATTTAACAGACGCTGCAGTGGTGGGAAGACCGGCAATGCCAGTTAGCTGAGATGAATGTTCTAGGAAGCATCGGATCCAGGGCTGTACCCAAGAATAAGTTCCGGGGAATGTTTTTGTGTAGAACGTCTAACTTAGGCAACTGGTGGTTGCTTGTTTTCTTCAATGTAGAGACAAATATTCCCGTCTATTGGCGTTAAAACAGCATCATGTTTGAAAATATTTCCATATAGAGGATAATTCTACCTGCACTCTAGTTGTGTTAGAAGTTTCAAGAGCTATGCAGAAGGTCAGAGATAGTTGTCCACCAAGAAAAGGAGCCGTGCCATTAGCAAAGCTGATTGACCTTAAAGTGCTCTCCACCATTAAATCGGCAATATTTTCCCAGGTCCAGATTTGTGCACGCCTGGAAAAGAACCGATAAAAACACGCATTCCTGCCTCAAGTGTGCTTTTATTGCTTGCCACTTTCAATTTTTAGATTTCTTTAACTAAAGAGGGGGAAAAGTTTGGAGATCAGCAACGCTACGGAAATAGCAGTGAAATGTACAGTTCATTTAAAGAACAAATCAGTGCTACCAGCTCTTCGATAACATCTTTTAAACTGCCTCTTCCAAAGGATTCTCTCGACATCACCAAAATTTTATATTCCCCACCGTTACTTTACAGAAAGACAAATTTTCGCCGCTAACAATATAGGAGTTGTGCCCTGAACACAGTCGTTTTAGCTCGACTATTTAGTTATTTATTTATTTACAAATACTGTAAACTCTTTATTGAGGTTCATTACAGGAAAGGTGCGACACACTGTACAAACAAAATGGGCTCATAACTGTACATCTCACAATAATAAACTAAGTATAGATAAATACAAATCCATAAAAGCTCTGCATTGCGAACGAAAAACACACACCCTGATTCGCAATACGACAGATAACAATCGCTATATTCTTTACAACAAATCACATAAATGTAAATCAAGTAAATGTAAATCAAGTAAATGCACAAATTCATTATCATCCGCCACAATTTTCACGAATTGCTTCCTGTCATTTAGGTACGCTTTCATCCAAATATGCAAAAAGTTGATGCAGTCCAGCACATCGAAGCTTATACAGTAATCTGTCTTGAGGTACTTTATTTAAGGCCTTAGCGAAATCTATGCAGATGACATCAATTTCTTCATTAATATCTAAAGTTGCCGCAAGGTCATGGATAGTTTCAATAAGTAGTGTTGGAATCGAGACTTTACTCCTAAAGCCATGCTAAGAAAGATATAACCTATTTTTACTTTCCAGGAAGGTGATAATATGTTTGACAATGACATGTTTTATTATTATGCAGCACATAGATGTGACCGACACGGGATCGTGATTTTTGGCAGACAACCAATCCCCACTCTTAAAGACAGAGACCACTACAGCTGTGCGCCAGTCAGATGGCACTTATCTAGTACAAAGAGACTTTAAAAAAAGAACTTCTAAGTAGTAAGATATCCACTCCGCATAACGCCGCGAAAATGGGGTGGGTATTTTATCAAGGCTGCATGCTTTTTTAGAATCAAGAGACAATAGACTCTTCAATACTCCTTCTCGACTGATAGCAATATCATGCACCGGCTCAGATAAGCGGCATATTAAATCCTTTGTTTCAGTGTCACATCGGCGTCTTGTAAAAACTGGCTGAAATAAAATTTTAAGACTATCTGCAATATCAACATTCTGCATCGCGATTTCGTTTTCCCGTTTCACCTGGTATTTTATCGCACCTATTGGACATATAAAGCCAGAACCTAAGAGGTAAATGTTAATAAAATAACGCAACGTTTGACCAAGAAAAGCACGCTTAGATGCTGTCAATTAAGTCTTATTTCAATTATTTTCGTACACGTGCTATTTCCTCGGAGCCATGTGCCTTCTTCTCCGCAGCCTTTTCAACTTTCGCTTCTTATGAATAATATCTCGTGTTATCTACGGTTGCGCTTTTTAGACTTCTTTGTCCTACTAGGAATTAATTTGTCGATGCAATATTTATTAACGTTAAAACGATGCCACAATTCAACTGTTTCGCGCTCGGATGCGTGCTCAAAATGACCAAACGAAAACCCCAACATGTCGAAAATGGAAGTGTCATCTGCGTTCGAGTAGTGCTTGACTTGCATGGTCTTTTAGGTTCTAGTTCATAAAACACTCAGTAAATAGTTAGAGGGACCAATCTATGAATAGAAACTGCCTCATCATCACATATAGTATAATTGCACAGTTTATTTGAAAGGAACACTAGATCCAACACTGAACGAGACTAAGATGTTATCAAATTATATTCGCGCACTGTTTGTGTAAGACCATGAGCAAACATAATTTCCAACATCTTTTCACCGCTATCAATCTCAACGTGACCAGGCAAAACCGCGTCCCAGTTAATGTGGGGCAGAATAATGTCTCCAGTAAGAATTAGTCTGATTTCCCATTTACATGAGCAAAAAGAAAGTTATTCAGTTTTTCAAGATACTTTGATGCCGTTGCGGGTGGTCTGTACACGACACCAACAAGGTGTACTTTGTTAAAAAGGCGTATTCTAAACCACACCGTTTCTGGTACATTGTTTTTAACTTGTGAGGCCACAACAGACCTTTTTTTTTTACTATGATAGCAACCCGCCCCCTAATCAGTACCCATCACCTGTAAAGATCTAGTAGCCTTCTGGCACAATGCAGTTATCAGGGACACAACTGTGTAGCCACGTTTCAATTGTAGCCACCCAATGAGGACTTTGTGATAGCAAAATGTATTCAAGTTCAGTTACTTTGTTAACGATGCTACAGAAATTAAATAGAACAAGCCGAAGCTATGTCTGTGGCGAATAAAAAAGCATTTCTAGTGCGTTAGATGACATGCTCTCGTTTCTTGTACTGCTCCTTCCTTCATCGGTAGCTTCAAGAGCATTTATCTGTTTCTGTTTATCTGCATGATTTTGATGCACGTATTGTTCTTCTCGTTTGACATCCCAGCCATATATATCACAGTTTATTTAAACCTTATAATGCACCAACATAACCTGTGCATCATTAGCCCTATCTGAAGCTGTACTTTCCCATAAATTGTACCTTATTTTAACTGTTTCTCAGGGGTAGTCTTGGCGTGCAACTATGCATCTTCTGTGATTACCCCTCTAAGAAGCGCGAAGCGGTGGCGACGCGGACGGCACGCATGAAGATCAGGCATGAAGTCGTGGTCAGGCATGAAGGCCAGATCCGTGGGCCCATCTGCGTATGTGCCCTTCTTCTTGTCTTCAAGCAAAAAACAAATAAAAGAGAGAGAAAACGAAAACTACTTTCGCATTTGCAGTGCTACTCTTCAGTTGCTGCAGAAGTCTCTGAACTGCACCTCGTTAAAGTGACAATAGATAATGCCACTAAAAATGTGGTGCCGCGTTCGAGAGTTTGTGTTGTTTGTGGAGAGCGCTTTTCCCAGTGATATTGCGTTGTTCCGCTGCCCGTGCATAAAGTGGCACCCGACATTCAATTTTTTAATGTGGGTAATCGTGTGTCCGTTCTCGAGGAAAAGTGAGATTAGGCGCTGGGGGAAATTTGGAGACCATGGTGACGACAACGGATTTTCGGAAGTTGATTTTTCTGACGCTTTGCTATTTTAGGCCTCACCGCGGGTTGGCTACATTGTTTTGGATTGTCTCGATTTCTTACTTAACCTTACCACAAATCTCTGCAGTCACAATGAGTAGGCATAATTCACTTTCATGACTATGCCTTATTGGCTATGAGCACGACGTCTGCACCTACGTCATCGGTATGGAAGCTTGTCATCGGTACTTTGCAAGGCATTTTCCATGTGTCGCTTGTGTCAGAGCGGCACTGGGGTCACCCTAGGAGTATGCTGAAGAACCGAAGCAAATGTGTGGCCAAAATCGCATCCGTTTAGGGCCAAGACGCCATTACATAGTGAAGAGGACCAATTCACAATGTTGGTGGTACATAAGGCTGGCCATGGCCAAGTTCACGTCACTTGGCATAAAAGGAGGAAAGGATTTGCACAGGAGAGAGGTGGGGGAATTGTGTTTTGAAGTGGAGCATCTGCGTTGTACGCAGCGCTGTCAAAAGGTGATCATCTTGGCTGTCTGCACAAATCAACGAGCTTGTTGGGGAATGTGTTATTTGAAGGATTTAGGTTCGATCTCGGTGGCAAGTTATGTTTTCGCCCACTTTACTTTCTTATCATTTACAGCATAATTATTAGAAATAACATCCTCTATACTTCATTTGGCGTTATTGTGTAAGTTCCCTTTATTTATTGTACAACAAAAAAAACGAGCCCTTAGAAAATCTAGGGTATTCTGAAGCAGTTTGGGACTTGAAAGTTTCATATAGCAAATCATTGCAAATTTTTTCACGATTATTTGTGTGGATCTAGAGGCCACAAGGTAGGGTTTTGATTCCTATTGGAAAAAAAATGTGGATTTGCACTCCTCTACTACATATATACTTTTTATTCCTAAATCCCGCAGCTATATCATGACGCAATACGTTTTGTTATTTTTGTAGCATTGTTTCATGAAACCCTGTAGTTTTTTGACATCTGTCAAGCTGGTCAAGTTGGTATTTTTAGTTACCATAATGCTGAAATGCTTGTGCTTTTTATATTTTACCAGTTGTTGTGCCTGATAGGAGAGTGCTTCGACGAGGAGATAAGCGACGATGTGAATGGTGCAGTGGTGCAGGTGCGTCCAAAATTCGACAAAGTTGCTGTCTGGACTGCCGATGTGCACCGAGCTGGCAACAACATCAGAATTGGGTGAGTTGGTTATTTCTTTATTTATTTACATAGTTCCTGAAACGCCACAGTGCAATACTACAGGGGGGTGTATATACAAAGTCAGTACAGTTAAGGACATTTCTGTGATAGTAAGCAACAACATAATAAAAACATATATATATATATATATATATATATATATATATATATATATATATATATATATAACAACACGTAACAATCTTAGTGCACAAACAAAAACATTTTTGGTATTTTATGGCAGATAGGAAACAGGTACAAAAGGTGAAATACACTAGTCATATTAAAACAATAAAAAACGAACATTTGTTTCTCAGGTTTACTATAGCTTCTGGAAGTTCATTTCACTCTCTAATTGTTTTTAAAAAGAAGTTGGCTTACTTTATGAGCCTATATTTTCATCTGGGGCCTACACTGACTGCCTTTCATGTTGAAACGTTGCTACGTATGAGACAATTGATAGTGAAATCTTATCTCCCGAACTTTAACCCCAGAAGGGGTCGAGGGGAGACACTGGTCTTGTGTACCAAAATATTATCACAAAACAAACTTTCTCGAATTTTTTCTCAACTTCTTTCTGCCTATAGATATCAAAGACAACCTATATGGCTGCTATTTTAATTCATTTCCATGGACACCTATTTTTGTTATTGTGCTCTAAAATTAGCTTTATGTCTATTGTACACTCACAAACACCCCTCGAAATATGGGCAATTTTTTCCCATTTTCTGTGCTTTTTATTACATTATTTTTTGATCCAATGATTAGATCTTGATTATTGTTGTAATGCAAGGTTATGAGTACCACACACACTAAAACCAATTTTATAAAACATGTAATAAAAGTGTTACGTCATCAAACTGCCAAAAATACTGGGGCTCCCAACCATGACCATGGCAAAAACGTCTACAGTTGCTGACTGATTTATCAGACCTTGCTGAGACCACAAATTAGTAAAAAAATTGTACCCCTGTCACACGGCACATGTTATGTCATTCGCAGCGAATGACATTCCTAACGAAGGTTGTTGCAATCTTGCGTTCCACGTTTCCACGTCTAAACGGCCATATAAAACAACATTTGCTATTGATGTCAATGTTTATCGGCAGGCTAAAATATTACCGAGAAATTGGCGCATTTATTTTCATAGCATTGTCCACCTGGTTCAACATGTGTTGCGATGCTATGCAACAGCATCATTAAAAATAAAAATGCTCGTACACATTCAAAGCAAAACTACCTTAAAGCCACTCACAACTTGCAGACGGCAATATTTGGAACCATGGCAATATTTGGAACCATGACAGCATTCATAAATTTATGATCGCGATTAATGATGATAAGTGCATTCGAATATTATTTCTGTCCGGCTGCTGCGAAGGAAGCATCAGAACCGATTGAAGCGCCTCAAGCTTCCAATTGAACAAAACATCACCGATGACGAGGGATGTGTAGCTGCGCTACAGCCCGATTCATTTACGTTTGGCTTCGTCTTGGCCAGCGATTAACAGAGAAGTGTGGTCACCAATTATCCAAGAAAGGATATTTGGTTTGAAATCACTCTTCCTAAACTGGTGTCTCACACTTGCGTGTGTATTTTACTGATAGCGACAACGGCAACGCTGCACCAACACAGCGATCGTTTTTAAATACGGCCTACATGGGGCGCCATAGCGTTAATTGAAAGTCTGGGAAAAAAGATTATAGCTGCACAAATTGCTTCTATTATCACCTTCTACGTTCAAAAGTTATCGAAAAGGTAATAACAACCTTTAAGACATCAGAACATCCCTTACACTTGCTTTGAGGTGTCGAATTTGTAACCTCTTGTTAAGCGCCTGTTGACGGGTGTAGAAATGTCACGCTTCCATGAGTTCAGTGAACACATTCAAGGGGTAAATGTCATTAGATGTGGAAGTCATTCACTGTGCCCGTGTAGCAGCGACAAAATGACATTAACACCTAACGTCATTCACAGCGAATGACTATACAGGTGCCGTGCGAGAGGGGTATGACAGTCTAAAAAAAAGGGAAGGACATGAGTGATAACGAAGCTAATTAGGATTATAGCATCCAAAAAAATCCCCAATAATGCCCTTCGTCATGCATACTGTGCTAGGGGACGAGCAGGTTTGGTTGTACGTGGGCGACGAGAATATATTCCGTGCACTGAGCGGCACCATTAGTGGCTCCATGGCACCAAGCAAACAAATTATGACGCTGGTCGTAAAAACGTGCATGCAACGTCAAGTATGTCTGCTGGGATTTAATGATGTGCTCTGGGTTTTTCTAAACGTGCACTGACTTTGCAAGTATGCAAGCCTCCAGCATTTCGCCTCCACAGAAACGCTGCTGCTATGGCCATGACCAAACCTGCATGTTGTTTCAGGTGACACCCCCCCCCCTATTAATCTATTGACCTATTGATAATCACGATAAGGCTGACTGGATGTGTAAGGTTGCACCCGTGAGATCAGGCAGCGGCTCATGCCACCTAGCCAAGATAGTACATAGTAAAGTTAAGTACTATCACCATGTCTTGAAGAATTAAATTTTATACAGTATCCAATCGCCATAACCACCGATTACTACTGAAAAACCACAACGGCAGAGAAGATGTAACATGCAGGAATGCTCAAATACACTTGACACACCGCCAACATTAACACGTGCGAAATGACACAACCCTCCCCTTATTGACATATGGACCTATTGATGATCACGATAAGGCTGACTGGATGTATAAGGTTGCACCCTTGAGATCAGGCAGCGGCTCATGCCATCTAGCCATGATAGTACATAGTAAAGTTAAGTACTATCACTGTGCCTTGAAGAGTTAAATTTCATTCGTGCCTGGATTGTAGCAGCCAAATCCTCCGGGTTATTTCTACCCACTTAGTCTATTTTGCCATCACTGTCCCTAAACCCCAAAGTTTTCAAACATTCTGCACCATTGTCTTGGACTATAAAGTGAAGCCCTTTAAAGAACATAATAAAATGTTCAGCTGTTTCAAGCTCCTCCCCACACGCACTACATAACGAGTGCATGCTTTCGTATTTGGCTTAGTACGTCTTGATCCGCAATACTCTCGTCCTGGTTTGTAACAGCAGAGAACTACCCCAAGAATTACCATAGATCTTTTCTCTTGCAATTTCCTGTGCTTGAATGTTTGGTAGATCTCCAGCGGTGATTTCCTGAGATCTCCTATTTTTCACACGCCCCTTTCTGTTTCATTCACCTTCTTCTTATCTGGTATTTCCTTTTGGCTTGGTGTCCTGCTGTTGTCTATGTTGCCTTATGTACTCCCATGCAAGGTAAACTGTTCTTTCGGAAAATTCGGCTCTAAGTTCTATTAGGCAGAGTAAAGTATCCGAAAATTTCATTTCCATCAACAGAGCGTTGATAACGAACACGTTGCCAAAGTCATGAATATCCGCTCTGCAGCCGAAACAACCTTCTTCATAGGATCCACTAGGGCAAAACCTGTTGAGCATGCAGTCTCCCATGCCGTAGAATCGAGGCAGACAATGCATTCAGATTTCAAAAATTTAACGTCAGTCAACCCGTGTTGCCAACAAAATGAACTAAAAAAACTACGAAAAGAAAGTGCTATCACGGAAATTCGCCGATCACGTTGCAAGCCACATAGATTACTGGTGCAATGAACGGCACTGATTGTTCGATTTCAAGGGCTCGTACCCCATATCCATGACGTTGCAACCTAATCGCTAACCACCGTTCGAGAGTACAGGTGCCACCTAAAATTCATTAGGCTTAAGTAGAGCCACCAAAAAGAGTTACGTCGATTCCATACAAAACCGCAGTATGATTGCCCACGACCACCTACGAAAAGCACAAGCAGGGATTAGGCCTAGCCTACCATTCGGCATGTTGTCGTTAGAAGTGTGTACAAGACAAAATGAAGATTTATTATTGAAAAGATCTCACTCAAGCACTGATCCAAAAGCAGCGTACGTGGTACAATCAGGGGAGAAGGTGCTGCGCCAATACCGCCATGCTGTGCCAGTGTGACCTGCTGCGGGAAGCCGCGTCTAAACGGAAATTCGCACGTGCAACGCCAAAATGAGTCAGGCTTCTGCAAGTCCGCGTAGTGGCAGCAAAGCTAAAAGCTCACGGCAGGAAGTTGAAAAGCTTTTAATTTTGTGGACGCGGTAGCAAACGGGATAATGGGGATGTTTTTCCTGGCAGGAAACTCAATGCACACTTGACGAGGACGCGGGTTCCAGACGAAGCGTGCTCGGCCGGCTAGAGGTTGGAGCTACGCTTGCGCGTCGGTGCAATTACTCTGACGCCCAAGCAACCGCCCTTCTTCCTCACTGAGCGACCCTGCGAAGTGGGCGCAATACTGCCGTGGGCATCTTTTCGGGGCTATCTGCCGTGGCCATCTGCCGTGCTCATCTTTTCTAAATGAACTTAAAATCTAACCTTTCTCCTTCATTACCACTGATGTCTATCAATCCCTGCAGATGTTTTTTGCCGGTCAATATTACTATATATTTGTATACATCAATGCTGATAAGGACTGTTCAACATGTTTCCTTGCTTGACAAATGAGAGGCTGAAGCTGAGACCAATCCCGTCTAATTTGGCTTCTAATGCTTGTAAATGCGGTGGAACCCGGATAATACGACTTTCAGGGAACCACGCAATAAAGTTCTGTATAATTCAGGTGGGCATTACACAATCGAAAAACTAAGATGATAGACAGCGACACTAAGCCTTGCCCCCAAAACTGGTACAGACTGCCTGATTAAGCTCACAGAAAGACCTTGTGCTTCTGCACGAAAGTACAATAAATTATTCTTGCCAGGGGTACCTAATGGTAGCATTACATACTAGTTGGAGGACGTACGAGCGAATCTTTATTTTCAACTTAATAAAAAAATCTAATGTAACCCGCATTTTTTTACCAATAAACCAGGTCTGAAAATTGCCGCCGTGTGAAACCCAAAACACATTGGCAACAGCCTCCCCTCGGAAGAATCGGGCACAGTGTCATTGTTATCACATATTGGCGACGGACCACGAGTTTGCGTAGAGTGCCTTCGTTTGTGACTAAGCTGTGCGCGTTTGAGTTTGTTGGCTTCTGAAATGCAACTATTAATGCCCCGCTGTTTGTATGAACGTCAACGTCAAGTGAAAGTAATCTAGCATGGTGAAAACAGCTGCGTCACACCCTTGTGCGCGTGCAAAGCTATGACTTCGAATGCGACAAAGACCGGAGACCAGCTGTATGTCGACTAGGGAACGTTTCCACGCACAAAAAATAAGAAATATAGGCTTTTCAGTTGGCTGATATACTCTGTGTGGATAGAGTTTGACTAGGTAACGACCCCAGATACATACGTGAATCATTGAGGCCTATGAAGAAGCACACGAACTTCCAAAAGAATTTTCAATTTTAAGAAGACGTCCTGGTTCACTCTCAACTTTTCTAATCGTCAACCTAGGGGAATGCAAGTTCATATTTAGCACTCGCCAATATTTGGTTGACGTTTGATTCTAGTAAATGTGGTTTTTTGCCCAGATGGAATCTGAAACTCTTCGTAAGGAGCGGGGTCGGCGTGAAACTGCGTCGTATAAGAGGGTTTTAATTACATAATTTTTGTAGACAATTTTTCGGAACCAAATCAATTCGTCGTAAAATGTGGGTCATTGCGAAACCAGGGGACATTTAATCGAAGGTATACTGTACAGCATAAATAACAAAGGTGCCGAGGGACTCCGCTTTCAGAAAAGTAGCGTCCCCTTGACAGTTTTGCCCAGACAAGAAAGTTTGGACACGGCCTGCGATACTGGAAGCTTGTGTGTCTTCTAATCCAGGAAGCCACACAACTAAGGTAGTCACTAAAAACCTAACTCGACGACACCAAGGTAAACTTAAACACGGCCGCTTCCAAAACTGAGAGACATGGCTCAAATTGAGTAATTTAGTACGAAAAATCATACTTTCGGGCATAGGTTGGTCCGAAAAATCTTTCATGAAAATGCATTAGTGCTCCGAGAACGCTAACACTGCATTTATGAAGTCCAAATTATCCAACAATTCCAAAATTTTGGAGTGTAGAGAATCCGTCATCTACTGTATATGAACTGAGCTATAATTATAGGGATGGTATGGTTGTGATACCTTATAGAAAAGTTTTTTTAGCGCCCGCAATGACCCAGTGAACGAACAAAAGGGAGAAAGAATGCGCATGCATTGAATTTGAGAGAGATGCTTGCATTTGCACAAGTAGTGGATGCCTACGTAAGACCTTGGCGCTTACATTGCGCCCACTACGGTCGATGTGTGCCTTACCGGCAGCTCTCTCACGAGATCATGATCTGCCGAGTCTAAAACAGACAGGAAGACTGCAACAGACAACGGTACAATGTTCATGGCAGCAAACGAAGTCGATGGCAGTGCCCTTGATTTAGAGGGTAAATAAGTAACCTAATGTCAATTGGTGAACATGTGCAGTGGATTGTGAACGCTACTAAGCTGGAGCTCAACTTACGACGACAGTATGTCTGTTGCAAACTAGAAACCACGAATTGACACGACGCACCGTGGCGAATTTGATGATGTTGTGGGTCTTGAAGTGGAGAGCGCCACGCTCTTGCAGTGAACGGACACAGCAGACACAGTCGGACTGAACCGAAACAACGGATGTATTTAAATGTTTTCAGATCAGCTATAATTCAGGTGACCTAATACACACCAATTGTGATCAACACGCTAAAGCAACCTTTCACAATATCACCATAAAATCAATAACATAACAAACCCAAAGTAGTGCGAAGGTGGAGCCGCCAACGTTCGACTCACCACTATAGGGCCACGTCAGACAACCCGCGGTCCCGTCCACCGCGGACCCTCTGCCAGAGACAACCGTTCGCACCGACCGCCACGCACCATAAAGGACCGCACACCTCTCATACGCCGCCACCCAGGCTTGTGCCAGGCATCACTACCGGTGCCACTGCACTAACCATGATGATAGTGGTGGTAATAAACGCTCGCGAGCACAACGCCACCGACCCTTCAATAGCTGGGAACCCTAAATGCGGCCTTTGCGCGAAACACGTCCGCCACGAGGCGCAAACTACTTTACAAGAAGTGTTAGCCCCCACCTTCTCCTCCCGCCATGTTTGCAAGGCATCGTGTCTGTGATCCTTTTTAACTATGTGCCTCTTTGGCAGATGTCTGAATAATCGCCCGCAAAAGCATGCCAAATGTTTAAGAGGAAAAGTGCAGTGCTATCTATGTAATTGTAGAGTCTGTGGATGCACGTGTATGTTCTACTAAGCTCAGCTTGGTTTTTCTCGAACACTGATGATTCATAACCTAGACGGCACCCTTATCATTGTTAAAGCAGCTTTGGTAACAATCGTCATTTATGTATAAATCATGCTGCTTGTTTATCTATACCGAATACCCGAAACCACTGCTCGTCATCAGAAACGATCGGCTTGCCTCATTCGTTTACTGAAGAGGCAAGCACCACTCTGTCAGGGACTGCCTGTATGCTAAGCAAAAAAAAAAAATGCTGGGGACTTTCACAGGTTTATGATTGGCCTATAATGGTTCCCGCATTATCTTCACTTGGAAATGGGAAATTGGACCAGACAGCCATCAATTTCAACATTCTGATTAGTGGGATGGTGCATGAAGGGGGAGCACACAGCATGCGTGGTAAAGCTACGAGCACAAAAGATGCAATCACATAGCATGGTATTCTAGTTTCTTTAAATGCTAATAAACGGCTCTGCCCTTTGTGGTGGTTCATTTGAATTTTGGAACAAAAAGACATGCTACTTGCGCCAACATGTGTTTGCTCATTGTGTTCACCTTTTACTTCTTACTGTAAATAGGCTAGGGTTTTTTATTTTTGAGAATGGAAGAATTGTCTTCCTCAACATAGCTAACATATGACTGTGTATATTAGTGTATGGAAGCCACACAAAACTAAATTTCTGCACTTAAACGCCGAGTGAAGAACCTCCTATACAAAATTTTACGATAGAAGATTTACTAGGAGGATTATATGATCACTGCACTCTTGTGGGTTGTGGACATGCTGCTGCATGAATTTTTTGTATAATGGTGTAATAATGAAAATACACGAGATAAAACATTCATTACAGCAGGCATTTGTTTTTTGCTCATACTCTCCATCCTTTTCGGTGGTGCTATGGGTAGTAGTAGCTTGTTGTCGTAACTATGCCCACATTGGCAACGTAACGCGAGATCACTGATTTTGTCATAGGCGCATAGCCATAGACTGAACAAGGCTTCCGCATGTGTCGCTCGTGTCAGCTACTTGCAGCAGTGCAGTAAGAACTACAGTTAAGCATTGACGAGGTTCATGACGTAAACAATTACGTGACATTGGACACGCTAAAACAACCTTACGCAATATTACCATACAGTAGTTAACTTAACCAACACAAAAATCTGTGAAGGTAGCGTCGCCAACGCTCGACTCACTACGAGGACCCATGACAGACGGCCCGTGGTGCCGTCAAGCACGGACACGCCACAAAAGACAAGGGTTCGCGCCAACTGCCACGCACGAAAAATGAACACTCACCTCTCATATGCCGCCACCTAGGCTTGGCGCCAGGCACCACCGCACTAACCATAATAATGATGGTGGTAATAAACGCTCGCGAGCACAATGCCACCTGCCACTCGATAGTTGTGAACCCTAAATGCGGCGTATGCGTGAACCACGTGTGCCACCAGGCACAAACAACTTTACAGGGGAGTGTTCAAGTTGTTCAGTGCTATCAATGTTGTAAAGGTGATAACCCTGTGTCTGAACCCATTGAGTTCAGCTGCACTCTGGATTTGTGTTAGGGCATATTGTACTCATGGTTTAATTTTCTGTCTGCTCTTTGATCCTCTTCAGGAAGACATTGAAGGAGAGGCTATATTTGCACCCACGATACATCGTTCCATACCAGGTATGTTCTGATCACAATACTTTTTGGCATTTCCTGGCAGCATTTATAAGGGAACTTGCTGATTGTTTCTGCAATGGTTACGCCTTGAGTCGGCATGCAGCGTTGATCATTTGTAGGTGGAAGTGAATTCTGCGGCGATGCAGGACTGTCATGTGACTGCCCAGGAAATTGCAGAAGGGTGGGCATCAGCATTTTCTCTGCATTTTCCATTATGACCGAAGATATGGCCATGAAGAGAGTTGCTGCGAAATTCATCCCGAAACTGCTCTCGGTTGAGCAAAAGCAACTTCGTGTTGAAGTCTCACAGGACATGCTGGATTTCACAAGCAGTGACCTAAGCTTCATGAACACCATAATCACTAGAGACGAGTATTTGGTGTGCATGTACGACCCGGAAACCAATTCCCTGTTATTACAATGAAAGCATCCCACATCAATAAGACCAAAGAAGGCCCGCCAAGTGCGCAGCATTGTCAAAGTGATGCTAAGTGCTTTCTTTGAGTCCCGTGGTGTGACACACCATGAGTACGCACCACATGGTCGATCACAAAAGCGTACTGCAGGGATGTCCTTCATCCCTGCAGTGCTGTGCAGCGCAAGAGACCAGAGTTGTGGTCAACTGGACTGGGCAATCCATGACGACAAATGTCCTGCACAACCCTTAAACTTGGTTCAGACTTTTTTGGCTAAAAGGCAGACTCACGTAGTTCATTGCGTCTCTTTATCCTTATATCGCCCCCTGTGACTTGGTTTTTGCACAAACTCAAGAGGACATTGAAAGCGGAGGGATTTCAGATAAGGGAAGACATTGCGGCTGTAACAAGAGCTGAGCTAAACTCCATCCTGAAAGAGGCCTTCTTAGAATGCCTCCAACAATGGCAGAACTACTGGGAGAACTGTGTTGTTTCCCAAGGGGACTACTTTGAGTGGGATTAGCTTTTTAACGCTCCATTTATGCCAGTTTTTCTTCTTCCACTAAAAGTGAGATACTTTTCTAAAAGACCTTGTATATAGTCAATCATGTCGTGACGCTAAAACAAATTTGATTCATGTGAATCGAAATGGCCTAGTCTTAAAGGATATTCTTTTATTAGACAATGCAAATTAAAAAAATGAACAGTAATGCCTCAGTCATTTTTGCACACATACTTTGTCGAGGTGTAAATAATTTGTTGGAATCTAAACGACATTGGCAAGACAAATTAACAAACTTGTTGAATAACTTTTAAATTAGTGACTTTAGGGCATTTGTTTTGTAAGAGAAAGTTGTAGTGTGTGCCAATTTTTATAATCCATCATTACGGCATTCATGGCATACCCTATAGAAGTCGAAAAAATTGTGCATATTTTGAAATATTCATAATCAAACATTATGGGGGAAATTTTAAGCGATTGTGCTTGGCATAACGTTTGTTGCACGAGGTGAGTACTACACATGACAAGGATGCGATGAATTTCGAGTCAAAGCACTTCAAAGCACAATATGGTCAGAAAAGTCAGCAAGCATTCTGAAATACACGAGTAGACCGCTTATTTTTAGGTGTAAAGTCATGCATATCTGTTTCAATTTATAAACAGACGCAAAATAGTATTTAACCTGTCAGCAAGAAGTGACACAGTGGCTGCAACTCAGTTTTACGCTTCAGAGGGAAGAAAATGCATCCGTGGCTTCTTCCCACCCACTACACATATCAAATATGCCTAACCAATTACAACTTACCCAAATGTCAATTATTCTGCAATTCTTCTACTTCCCAGTTTTATGGTAACTTCATAGAGAAAGAAAGGGTTGAAATTGCGTTTTTTGCACACAGATATCATTTACATAAGCAGAGGTTTAAGAGCTGCACCGTTTGCAACATTGTCGCTCAAACTTGTCTACCGCTTGCATTCTGGGCTGACCCACCTCTGTTGCTCCAAACTCTCATGTCAGCACCCTACTGGATTGGAGCACCTGAATTCAGTTGCTTGGTGCCCCATGCATAAATTGTGCCTGAAACATTGCTTCTTCAGTTTTATTGTAACATTTATAGTTGCGGTATATTCAAGGCTGTGATCATTCAAGCAAATGCTACGAACTTTGATTGCAAGGTCCCGAGAGCTGATGCCTGTGCAATCACTGCATGCAACAGGGTGATTAGCTCATAAACCCTTCTACGTGCAGCGCTCTCAATGCCAAGAGACTGTGCTATAAGAGGATATCTTCAGCAATTTGTATGATTACGTGATATGGAATTGAAGAGAGTTAGCTTCCAGCCATATAACATAAAATTTGTTGATAGCACAATGATTGTTCTGCTCTTGCACTGAAACTGTTTTGTATACAGTCGATTACAGATATATCGAACTCGAAGGGAATCGCAAATTAATTCGATATATAAAAATTCCAAATAAAAACAGGCCTCGAGAGCTTATTTGTAGTGGATAAACGCCGACAATAGGTGCCATCAAGAATGACAACGAATTCCGCATACGCGCCGCAACAGAATGATTTATTTGTGTGAAAAAAAATGCTTATCATGGCCAACTTTCTTGTTTTTGAAATGTTGAAGACACTAGTCTCAATCATATTAAGGCTGTCCGTTGTTGTAGCACTGCTTAACTCGGAGAGAAGACCCGGTGTTGTCGGCGAAATTGTTTCACCCAGTGCAGCGGCAGATCACAAAATTGTCCGCAGACACCTAGTGTGGAACTCCTGCCAAGAAGCGGGACGACATTTGGCGAAACGCGTCCTTTATGCACTCAACGTCATCGTTTTCACCGGTTTCTGCAAGTTCCAAGGTCTCCAAGCCTGCCTTGCGGAAGCACCTGACCGCTGTGTCCATCTTCACGTCTCGCCAGGCGTTGAATTTCTCCGCGGGGAAAACTTCACGGAGATTTTCGGCCACTTTTTCGTTATCCACAACTGGATGTCATGGCTGCTGACAGCTTCGCTTTCGCCGGAAATGGTTTTGACAACGATGTTGTAGCGCTGCTTAACTCGGAGAGAAGACCCGGTGTTGTCGGTGAAATTGTTTCACCCAGTGCAGCGGCAGATCATTTGGCCTTGGCGATGAGCATCGGAGCCATCCACCGAAATGTTCTGTGCCACTCTTCTATAAACACTAGGCATAGAGAGCTTTTTCTACATTCCTGTGGACAGGAGCGCGCACATGACAGGCTCCCGACGTTTGCTGCTCCACAGCCTTTGACTTGAAGTCTGCTTTGTTTTTCAACAAAGTACTCTGAGTGCTCTGTGGTATCCCAAAGTCGTCCGCGACAGTCGAACATTTCTCGCCCGCCTCAACACGCTGAATAGCCTTCAACTTCATCGCAAAGTCACGCGTCTTGCACTTCCTGATGCAGGCCATAGCTACACGAGAAGTCGACAATTCGAGGAGTCCGCAGCGGCTTTGAACACCATACCCACAAATGAGAAACGCTGCACATGCGGTGGTACATAGGCAAAGCGACAAAGGAATCAACAAAGCGCTCGCGAGATGATGGCCACCTGCAAGGGCAACAGCAAAAGTCGCGAACTGTGGTTGGCTGATCAAACTCGCAAAACAGCAACAAAAAAAATAAAAGGAAAGGCAAAAAAAGCAGAACGTCGGTTCTTTCATTCCTGCTCTCCAAGCCGGCGTGCACGCGGTGAAAGCCTGAAAGGGACAAAAACGAAAAAATAAGGGGAAGAAATCCGTTCCGCAGGGTAAAGACTGTGCAATCTGTGTCCTCTCGCCCCTATCTTTTTTTCAAGCGTTTCGGGTTTTTTTCGCAGACGTGGTGCTTCGTTTTTTTCGCAGACCGGGTGCTTCGAGTGCCAAAGCGCACCTTCCAAATTGCGTTGGGAGCTGCACTGCCATGGAGATCGCGGGGCTTGGCAAGTTCCGAAGCGCACCTTTAGGCTCGCGCGGCGTTCGATATATATGAAGGCGGGTAAAAATACCTTCGATATAAACGTGTGAATTTTCGATACTTTAACGAAGGAATTTCAAGGGATTAATTTAAGAATTCGATGTACCTGAAAATTCTATAATATATTTGGGTTCGATGTATCCATATTCAACTATATATATATCTTCATGGCAGTGTTCAACAAAAGTAATAAGAAAGATGGTGGCATAAGGTTCCCGAAACAGCCTAGTATATAAAGACAGGTGCACAGGATTGCTCATGAAGTGCACGTGCATATTCTCGTTCATTTCGCCAATATGTTCCGTTCACTCATCGAGTCGACTGTTGTTTGTACATATATCCAATCAAAGTCAGTTGCACCCCAAGGGGTCAGCAACGAATGCGATAGCAACAGATTGTTATTTTATATGGAGTGTGGCTGACGGTGAACTCTTTTAGATCTGATGTGGTGGGCGTAACTCTACGAAACGCTGGTGTAAAAGAATGTAACCGCAACAGGAAATACTAACATTTTTTTCTTACTCTCTCCGCGATTAGAGCACATCACGTGGCAGATAATGAGAGCGGCCCGCTGATAGCTGCCGAGATAACACACGTGCCACTGATCACGACCACGCCCTAGAAGCAATGTTTACAGTTGCTACTTTAGCAATGTCCCTTCCCCCTCACACGTCTTTCCATGTTTGTTCAAAACCGGCCTGGCCTTTTCTCTCTGCTTCGACAGTAGGCCTCTTGAGTGGGGTGATGTTTTTGTATGCGCCCTCGTAGCAATTAAATGGCCACCTTGTTTACTCGTAGTTATTTCTTTATTCACTTGTAATTTTGCACTGAGAATTGTCATTTTGGTGGGTTTTAGGTTTACAGGGGGCAGATGCCTTGTCAGGCTTTTATGCCTTTCAGCCGGTTCCCTTGGCAAAGTGTACTTCCTTAACTTCTGCGGAAATAAATTTCAATTCTATTCAATATCTGCTCCAGTGGCGTTCGTCACCCCCGTTTGCGCGCTTTTACCTCCGGATAAGGTATGTTCTCAGTTTTAACTTTTTCTGGCACATGATGGTAACGGCCAAAACACGTAGATTGTATCCACATAACTGCTACGCCAATAA